GAAGAAGAAGAAGAAGAAGACCGTACAACAATGGGAGCTATGTTTCCCCCTTCTCAGTGGCCGCCGGAAGATGACGTTATGCTCAAAAGCGCCGTCGAGGTAGCCCTTTTTCTTTTTTCTTTTTCCTTTTCTTTTTTTTTCCCGCAATTCTATGAGCAAGTTGCTATTTTTTTTGCCCTTTTTGTAGAAACTTATTTGTTTTCTGGGTTCAATTGCTGAGAAACCTAAAAGGGCTCGACCTTTCTTGAGTTGAAATTGGGTTAATTTGCATTTATGAATGAATGAATGAATGGTGGCGCTGGTTGAACAAGTGTTTTAATTTTTTTACTTGTTTGAACAGTTTGTATCAGTTTATCTTGTTGTTGTTCTAAATGGGTTGAAGCTTCTTTTTTTTTTTCTGTTGTTGCATGGGGTGTGAAAGATTCAATCTTTGTGGGTTTTTGCCCTTGAGATTTCTGCAGTGTTTTGGGTTTTTGAAAGTTTCTGAAGAGTAAAAACAAAATTATGCAATGGGAATTTGTGTATGGAAATTCAATAATTATCGAATGGAACTGTAGTTGGCATCCCCATAACGGCGTACCCAAAATAAATGTAATTTGAGTTTTATGATGGAAGGGGGGAAATACTATGGATCAGTGAACTATCTGTTAAAGATACACGCTATGAAACGTAAGCAGTGAAAGTGGTTTCCGGTTGGAAAACAGCTTTTCATATCAAATGAATTAGTTTGTGTTATCAATGGCGGATGGAAGAAAATGACGGCAGGCCAAAATTCCGCCATGAAGGCCTATGGCTCTGCCATAACAGCCATCCTTCACAAAATTTAGCATGACGGTTTGGCAGAAATTCGCCTGCCATATCACCATGGCCACCATTTGATAACACTGATTAGTTTTTAGTAAGTATTGAACTGTGGGATTTAATGGATTAGACACGTGATATCGAATCTGATTGGTTTAATACACGTGTAGAAAAATGTGTGTTTCGTGATGGATATGTTTTTGGAAATTTTACATCGGTAGTGTTCAATGTATAGAATGAGTGCTTCAGAATCTGATTATTGTAATACGAAAAGTGGAACTCGTGTAGTGTAGCAAAATAGTCGAAAAAGTGATTTATATGGAAAGTTTATTAAATTTAATGGGGCGGGTTATGACAAAAGTGGCTTTCATTGGATCATGTCGATTTCTGCTTTTGTATTGACTCATCATAGTAATCATTGATTGTGTATTGACTCATCATAGTTAAGTTTTGACTTGTAGACCCACTTAGCTCCTACACTTTGTTTGGTCAAAGATTTTTGACATGGCTCATTCTTCTTGATCATTATATTGTCTCCACCACCAATATTAGACCCAAACATCATGATTAGTAGGCGCGTCATCTATATTTGTCCCACAATTGTGAAACCATGTAACTGATGGATGATTTCTTACTGATATTCTTCCTTTGTGTCAAAGTTTGTGATGTATTAGGCCTTCTAATTGTTGCTCATTTTAATGCCTTCCGCACGTGGTCTTTTTGTTCTTAATGTTTAGTCAGTGTAGGAAGATAGATATTGATTCTTTCTACATTCTCCGTTAATTCGGATTTCACAGATATTTTCTTTTCCAAGTGTGGCCTTTAACCCTTATTGGTTTTATGTAGTGATCAGTTTGCCTCTCATTATGGAATTTAAACTTCTAAAAAACTTCAAAGACTTGTAAAGATGCAGCATTTCAAAAAATGCAAACTACATTTGGTTTTCTCACCTCCTTTACTTTTGAAAGATCTTTGTTTTATATTTTTTTATTTTTCATTTTCTCATTGTACTTGATTTTCTCCATGAAGACCGATCTTAGATGGTGATTCATATGCAGAATAACTTCCTTTTCTTTTTTTTTGTTCGCCCCCACCCTTCACCAGTCTGGCGCTTCCTTGGAATCTCTTGCTAAAGGGGCCGTGCAATTTTCTCGGCGATATACTGTTAAAGAACTTCAAGATCGCTGGTATTCGCTCCTTTACGATCCAGTGGTTTCCGCAGAGGCTGCCCCTCATATGCTAGAGGTGATGCGTTCTGGATTTTCACATCAACCGAAATCCAACAAATTGGAAGCTGTAAAAGAGGCAGCCCTCACCTCAGGGAAGAGAAAGAAAGCCGAGAATATCCGAAAATGTTACTACGCCATGCGTAAAAGAATCTGTAATGAGCCACTCGACATCATGGGCATCGATCTCCTCCCCGGGTCAAGCGCTGCCAATTTCGGAGATGGAAGCGGGCTCGGAATCCAAGGCCCGGACTTCGATATTGGGCCTCATCTCTTTCCCGAATTAGGGCCCAACTCCTCCAATGATCTTCAGTTCGGCGGGCAAGTTGCCGCCCATGACCTTCCCCCGTTCACTTACGAGGACAGCACTCTCCCTCTGGACGATGGGATCCCAGGATTCAACCAGTCGGATCTATTCGGGCCTGAGGCCCATCTGGAGGGCCCCGGATTCAGAGCATGTGACAGCGGGCCGTTTCGTAATTTGGCGTGCTCGTCCTCCTCGATGCCTCAGATGCCGATGTGGGACGACAGTACCTCCCCTGATATGTGTGCCCCCCCTCCTGACCAACTCATGGCCAGGGACGAATTCGTAATTCCGCCGTCCTGTAATGTTAATGTGACGGACACCTATTTGGCTGAGCTGTCCAATACATTGTTCTCCGATGACCTGCACTGCTCGGATAGTAGCCCGAAGGACGGCATCGACGCGTCTTATCTCGAAGGGCTTTCCTCGCTTTTGACGTTCGATGCTTCCCCGAGTCAGATTGAGTTGGATGGCACAAGTGGCGGGCCTCATTTACTATGCGAGGTGCCCCATAAAGCTGCTGCTAGTCCGATTCCTGAAAGTAAAGAACTTGGGCCCGAATACCAAAACGGGGTCATCTGCTGCACATTGAATACTGAAGACCCGAATATACCCGACAATGATGATGTGTTCCTTCCTGTTCGATTGCCTTCGCCGACCTATACACCCAGTGGGTTCCACTGGAAATTTGAAGATCCAACTTCTACTACGGACCTGCCGAATGTTGCACGAAAGGTAAAAGTGAAAGTTGGGCCACCCGCCATGAAAAACAACGGCGGGCCCTCGCACTTTGAAGGGCTGACTGGGCCGCTGGATAAGTGTTCGAAATATTCGGTTGCAGATAAAGGGGTGAAATTTGAGCTGCCCAAGAGTAATATTCAGCAGGCTGTGCTCAGGAATGTGAGAAAAGGTGAGGGTTATTCGAGCCGTGCAAGTTCGGCAAACAACAATGAAAATTGTAACGTTGGTGGGGTTGCCAAGGAGGGTTCGGTGGATGTGGATCAGGGCAAGAAAATCGACTGTGAGCCCATTGAGATTTGTTTGGATAAGCGTGAGAATGATCTGGACATTCTTGAAAGCCTTCAGAAGAATGATAACGTGAAAGTGGAAACTCCAAATGTTGGGCTGGCAGACGACGAGACGAGCTGCCGAAAGACAATTGCTTTGCCAATTGACGAGTCTCGAGTATTGGATATGGAAGAGTGGTCGGAAAACGATGTGCCTTGTTTTTCTGATGTTGAAGCAATGGTTAGAAAAAAAGCTCGAGTTTTTCAAATTATAATGCTTTTCTATTTTGTTTCCTTTTGCTTTTTTGCTTGCTTTAATTCCATTATTTGCTTCATGGCATCCTCCAGATTCTAGATATGGACCTGAGCCCGGACCTGTATACAAATCCAGAAGGTAGTTCTCTATTTTCCAAGAATCTTTGATTTATATGCGTTGGACTAATGTGCGTGGTTTATTACGCAAAGTTGTAGTCTTTTTTTAACACTGGATTTCTTGAAGGTGTTAGAATTACTCTGTTGAACCCTCATTGATGTTAGGGAAGCTGGATTTTTTTTAACCAGATAATCCCAAGGGTTGATTTGTGATTATTTCAAAATTTGGCGTGCTATTTTAAAGTTCACAAGTTGATTTTAATAGCAGATGACATCTCTTAGATTTCTTGTAGAAAGTTGATATCTCTATTGTCTTGGTTGGTAAGGCTGCTGCATGCATGGCGAACCATGGATTTTGTAATGTTTGCAAATACTTAAATAGAAGTTATTTTCATTGGTTATCTCAAAATATAATATATAAACAAAAAAGCTGAAAATTCGTTATATTTTTATTTCTTAATATTTTTCAGTAACACTCCCGCTGTCTCATTTGCTCTCAGTTACATACTACTTAGTTTTAGTGATTTCAGTTTATCTAATGTTTATAGAATTTTCAAGAATCATCAATCTTGTTTTAAGTCTAATGAAAAATAAATAAACTGCAGTTCAACGATATATGCTCGAAGAATCTAAAAATGCAATCGTGAGACTTGAGCAATCAGCCGACTCTTGTTCTCAGAGAACATTTGCTAGACAAGGTGCATTTGCTGTTCTCTACGGCCGCTGGTCAAAGCATTTCATAAAGAAGCCTGAGGTACTTAATTTTCTTGCTAGCTCTGCAAATTTATCTATAACTTTTTGGCATGAATTAGCTGTTTCAACCTATTACATCAGATAAGAGTAATAATATAAAGATAAAGAACGAAATATTTTCGTTTCATGTAAAATTATGAGTAGCTTCTCAACCTACGCAACTTTCATCAGATAAGAGTAATAATATCAAGTTAAAGAACGAAATGTTTTCGTTTCATGTAAAATTATGAGTAGCTGTCTCAACCTACGCAAAGTCATCCAATCTAGAACAGAAAGGAAGCCTAATGTGTCTGTGCTATCTTCGGCATTAGTACTTCTCGTCCCGGATGTAGAATAGTTCTTTCGGAGCAGCTTCTCTTTCTTTAGCTATATCTATCAAGTTAAAGAACGAAATGTTTTCGTTTCATGTGAAATTATGGTGGTATATTATCTAGTATAAGTCTTATTCAGTTGTAATTCAGAGCTTCTTGATGTCTTGCCCTTGAAATTCAGATAGATTATGATTTTTGACTTGAAAAGTTCTTCACTGAAAAAATATGAAGATAATATTTGCACCGAGCGTATAGTGGAAGTTTTGGTTTTAAGGTCGAACATTTTTATTACAGAAGCTAGAGTTTTACGGGAGCTAAAAAGCCTAAAATATAGTATTGAAGACATGTAACTACTTTGCACTTGTTTTTGAAAGAAATTAATTATTATTATGGCTTTCAGGTGATACTCGGCAGGTCAACTGAAGAAAGTAAAGTTGACATTGACTTGGGAAGAGAAAAAAATGGTGGAAAAATTTCTCGAAGACAGGTATGTCGTTCGCAAAAATTTACACAACACGATAAATTTAATGGAGTATTAGAATGGATTATTTCAAAGCCATTGTTCTTTATGCAATGTGGATTTGAAATCACAACTGGTTTGAAGTTTGATAATGGTAGTTTTTTTTTCTGTAATATTACTCCATACCTTGAAACCTAATTATTATTATCATTATTCCTTTTTTCTTTTGCATTGATTGATTAGGCTATTATAAAGATGGACATGCATGGGACTTTTCAATTGATCAATGTGGGAAAATCGTGGGTTTACGTGAATGGAAAAGAGGTGTTGCCTTGCCAGAGTTTAAGCCTTACCTCTGGCTGTCTTATCGAGGTACTACATAACGACTTTGCTTATTATCTGAATAATTATTCTAATCCAAAATGTTTTGAAGTCTGCGTATACATTTGTACTCTCGAACGAGCACACTTTGTGTTAGGATTATATTACAGAAGTCCCTGAAGTTTAGCTTAAATACAAAAGAATATCACTAATATTTAGTTCACTAATTGCTTTATTGCTCACAAAAATAAAATAATCCATGCCTGACTGCTGAATTTAGCAAGTGTCATATGAGTTTTTGCAACATGCTTTTTTTTTTTCAAGTAATAGATTGAAAACATGAGACTTTCGCCTTAAATATTACGGTGTTTTAATGATGGCCTTAATGCCTGAATTTAATTTCTAAATCAGAAACACAATATCATACGAGTTTATGTAATCTGTTTTTTTAATAGATCAAAACGCAAATTATTGCCTTACATTTTATGATTTGCTCCATCTTTACCTTCAGGTGAGGGGATTGGCATTTATTTTCGAGACAAGTCGTGCGAACATAAACATTTACTTGAACAGCATTGTGGGCGGTGACCAGCCGTCGGGTCACAGATCCTTAAAAGGAATTTGAACGATGGAGATCGTGTGTTGGGTTCAGGAAAGGTGCCATTTTTAGCCTGCCACTTTCCTGAACAAGAAGCTCTATGTAACCAGTATATGCATAAAGAAAACAACATTTGTGTTTTCCCCTAACTACATTTGTTTTCTCTTTTTTTTTTTTTTTTTTTTTTTTTTTTTTTTTTTGGGTAAGACTACATGTTGTTTAACTCCTTTAACTTATATTTGTTGGTTTAATTAGAGGATTTTACATTTTTTAGTCTGTTGATATAGAAGAAGATAATAGAGTATCTTATAGGTCAATGTGCACTTTGATTTCACAAAGTATCTGCAAATTGCTTCTAAGCAATTTGCAGTTACATTATATGGTGTGTACTGTGTACTTTGATTTTTTTGTATAAAAGTATTGTGTACTTTTATTCACTTTTAATTAATTTTAAGAATGAATTTGTTTTTAAATATTTAATGTAATATATTTGATGATTTAAGAGGAACATGTTCCAATGAGTAGGAATTTTTTAATCATTTATAATCATATGACATAATTTGGATGAAGGAATGACTCAAACAATGGCGGTTGAAAATGTTAAAAATCTATTTTGGGATTAAATATGTTTAATTGATACATTGGGTTATTATGTTTAATCGAATTAGGTGATTAAATTATTGTATAGATATATTTGCTAATGAACTTAATTTAAATTGTGAAATGATTGAATAGAGGAAGTTTATAAACTAATCAAATAAGCTATAAGCTAGTCTATATTTGGTATACCTGCCTTATAGCTTTTAAGTGAATTTTAGATTTATAGTTGATAGCTTATAGCTGAAAAATTAGTTTATATGATAAAAGTGTGGTAAAATTAACTGATAAACTAGCTGAAAAAAAAAATTCAATCGCTTATTTGAAAAGTTTTCCAAAGCAATATATTATTTGTATAAAGAGACAACTTATTTATAAAAAATAGTAACAAGAAAAAATCAGCAATCATTTAATGCATTATATTTTTTATAGTTTTTCAATTTTTTTTTTTTTTTTTATTTTCTTGCCCAAAACATCAGACCACCATTAAATGCACCTGGAATTATGCCGGTTTTTATTTTTATTTTTTTTTTTTAAATAATTGCCATAAAATCTCAGCCTTGCATTATTGTTGAATTCAAATTTTCTTCTCATTATTTCTTCGAAAAAATCTGATATGCTGGATGGGATCACCCTTAACCTTTAGTACTTGGAGGAACATATCTTGAGATCAGATTGAATCCCCTACAACGCCGGGTTGCATTAGCAGAATAAGTAGGCCTTGTGATTAGCACATCATTTGGAATGGACTCAATGAACGGATTACCTCCTTGATCCACTGGGAGTCTGACGTTCGGCATCACCGTCCTTGCCAGAATGAATGCAGAGGATAATGCGCCATTGACCTCCTTGGACATCTCGAACCCGAATGCAGTGCTTGCCTTTCCGAATGAGCCTAGGACGAACCCTTCCCTAGTCAACTTCCTCTTCTTTAGAGTGCCATCTCAACGTAGTAAACTAGCTAACTACCTTTCCTCTAGGCGCATACGTCAAAGTAACAAACCATTGTTTCATGGGAATCTTTAGGAGTAATTCATCAAATTGGTTAGATCTAAAATACTAACATAATATCGGCCACTCACTCACTTTTTGGCGCCAAAAACCTGTAAGCCAAACCAGGCCCACTTTATTTATTATTTATTTGTCGATTCTATGTGATTGAATCTTTCTTTCAAATATCAGTTCGAAGTTTTTCGGGATCCATAAGCTAAGATCAATGGAACGCAAGGAAGTTGACTTCCAATGCATTCCTTTCAATCTTGTATTCAGTATACTGAATACCAAGCCTCCAAGTTCTTAAGTAAGATGAGCTTCAAGCTTATAGGTAGTGGCCTAAGCGCTAAGAAGTTACTTTATTGGCCCATAAACTCACCTAGGGAAATCCATGAACTCAGTTCCCTAGCTTGAGTGTATTAATAGTAGCTCCGATTTCGGCAGCACTCCTTTGGACAGAATAACAAGTAGCGGGTCAATCTTCATCAATTTAATCGAGATACCAGAATGCGATGGGAAAATTAAATCAATTGCGTATAATAAGAGCGTCGAGCAAGTACAAGTATTAGTAGCATAACAAAAATGCCTTCCTCGTCATTAATATGTTTGCTCGCGGCAATTGTGAACTCTCGGGCTGATTTTTTCATTTTGAGAATCATTTCGAAAGAGCAAGTGCATACAAAATCATTTATCATTTCGAATTTCAAATTTAAATATTAAAATTACTTCTCATTTGGTCACTATAAAAATCTAGTATATTATCTACAGTGTTATCAAAACCGGCCGGTCCTCCGATTCGACCGGGAACCGTACAATATACCGGTCCGGATTAAGGTACAAAACCACTTGGGCCCAAAACCGGACACACTGCTTGAACCGGTTTAAAACCCAGTAAAACCGGTAAACCAGTGACGGCTCACTTGGTAACTTTGCATACAGATGGTTCAAGAATCAGTTATATAGTTGTTTTGTTTTGTTTTGTTTTTAGTATGTTTCACCTATCATTTTATTTGTGTTTTTTTATAATTAATATCTAATATTTAACATAAGTTGTAACGGTCATATCTTAAAAACTAATATAATTGCACTTTTGTTAAAAACTAATATAACCATATCAATTATTTTGTTTTTTTTTTCATTTGTAGAGATGCATACCATTATTAATTAAATAAATATATATATGTATATGTATATATATATATATATATATGATAAATAATCCTACCTATTTTTTCAATCCATTTTAATAATGTAAACTAATGTTAGTTTTAAAAACTTATGTTATCTTTTATCAATTTTTATTCTAAACTTACTTTTTAAGTGTTGTAAAATACATAAAAAAATTTACTTAGGTGTATTAATTGAGATGAAATGGTTCTTTATTTTTTCTACATGTAAGAAAGTGGGAAAAATATGTTCTGTATTATTCACAAAGACATATACACATATATATAGATACATAGAAGGCCTAAACCTAACTTATTGTACAAGAAACCATTTAACATAACTAACACCCCCCTCAAACTCAAGGTGGTATAGTGGAGATCAACTTGAGTTTGCTAAGAAGTAAACAAAAGCGACCGGGAAGGAGAGACTTCGTGAAGACATCCGCTGGTTGATCTATAGAGGAGACGGAAACAAGTCTCACAGTCCCATGTGCAACATGCTGTCGAATGAAGTGACAGTCAATCTCAATATGCTTAGTACGCTCATGAAATGTATCATTATGAGACATCTTTATAGCACTCTGACTATCACAATGTAAAGCAGTAGACACCGATTGAGGTGCACCAAGATCAGCAAGTAGTCGACGCAGCCATAATAACTCTAAGGTGGAATCAGCAAGAGCACGATACTCAGACTCAGCACTCGATCTGGAAACCAATGTTTGCTTCTTACTGCGCCAAGAGACAAGTGAATTACCAAGAAAGAAGCAGTACCCAGTAATAGAACGACGATCAGTAGGATCTCCAGCCCAATCTGCATCAGAATAACCGCTAAGCGTCAAAGAAGAATGGGCCGAGAAGTGTAAACCATGCAATAGAGTGCCCTTCACATAGCGAAGGATGTGCAACACAGCAGAATGATGTGTGGTTCTCGGAGCAGCCATAAACTGACTCACAATATGAACAGCATGAGCTATATCAGGCCGAGTGACAGTCAAGTATATCAAACTCCCAACAAGCTGACGATATAATGTAGGATCCTCAAGAAGAGAGCCATCAAGTGGAGTAAGACGAACATCATAATCAAGAGGAGTGGAAGCTGTCTAACAATCAGTGAGACCGGCCCGAGCAAGAAGATCAGAGGCATACTTGGCTTGAGACAAATAGAATCCATCTGACGAATTAGAGATCTCAAGACCCAAAAAATAGCGAATCTGGCCCAAACTCTTCATCTCAAAATGCTGACGAAGATAATCCTGCAAATCAGAAATACCGGTAATATCATCCCCCGTGATGATCATATCGTCAACATAGAGTAGCAAAATAATGATCCCGGAGGAGGAGCGCCGAAGAAATAAAGCAGAATCGTGATCACTCGTAGTGAAACCAAACTGAAACAACGCAGAACTGAACGTGGCATACCAAGCACGAGGCGCTTGTTTCAAGCCATACAAAGCTCGACGTAGACGACAAACTTTCCCAGATGACAATGATCCAGGAGGAGGAGTCATGTAAACCTCCTCAGACAAGGCACCGTGTAAGAAGGCATTCTTGACATCTAACTGTAGAAGAGACCATCGACGAACAGCAGCAACTGCAAGTAAACACCGGACAGTAGTAAGACGAGCAACCGGTGCAAAGGTCTCTTCATAATCTATGCCATACTCCTGAGAGTAACCCTTAGCAACCAACCGAGCTTTGTAGCGCTCAATAGATCCATCTGAATTTGTCTTGATCTTATACACCCACTTACATCCGATGGGAGTCTTGCCAGCAGGTAAATCCACAAAATCCCAAGTATGAGTCTTTTCTAAGGCCTGTAATTCCTCAGTCATAGCTTTTTGCCACAATGGATCAGCATTCGCCTCACGAAAAGACCGAGGCTCATGATGAGATAGAATGGCCGAATAACAATGATAGTCAAGTAAGTGAGAAGGGGGACGACTTACACGAGTCGACCGTCGCTGAGCAATAGCTGGCAAAGGTGCAGAATCAGAAGAGGGCTCAGTACGAACTGTCGGTTCAGGATGCACAGGTGGAGCCACTTCAGAAGACGGAGGCATGACAGGCGTGTCAATGAGCTGTGAGTCAGAACCTATATTTGTATCTGGAAAAAGATCTGAAGTAATAGACATGAATAAAGGAGACGCCGAATCAAACGGAATATGGAACTTAGACAAGGAGGAAAAGGTAGTATGCTCCCAAAAGGTAACATGACGCGAAATACGCAACCGATTAGAAATCGGATCCCAACACCTAAATCCTTTGTGTTCTACCCCATAACCCAAAAAACAACACAGACGAGCTCGGGGTTCTCATTTGGTTCGCTCATGGGATGGAAGAAGAACAAAGCAAACACAACCAAAAGGACGTAACTGAGTATAATCAGGAGACTGACCGTACAACCTCTCAAAAGGACTGACATCACTAATGACTGATGAGGGCAACCGATTGATAGCATAAACAGCAGTCAAGGCTGCCTCACCCCAAAAACGATCAGGACACTGAGCAGAAAGAAGAAGAGCCCGGATAGTATCAAGAATGTGACAGTGTTTACGTTCAGCTCGTCCATTTTGTTGGGAAGTATATGGACACGAACGCTGAACTAAGGTGCCCTGATCAGAAAGAAATTTCAAAATAGTAGAATCTTTGTACTCAAGACCATTATCAGTACGCAAGACCTTTATAGGACAAGAAAATTGGGTAAGAATCATGTTAGCAAATTGAACATATATGCTGGACAACTCAGAACGATTTTTGAGAAAATAGATCCAGGTAAAACAAGAAAAATCATCAACAAAAATAACAAAATACCGAAAACCACTCAGAGAAGCAACAGGAGAATGACCCCAAATATCAGAATGTACCAAACCAAAAGGTTTATCAGCAGTTGACAAACTATCAGAAAAAAGAAAGAGCCGGTTGTTTCCCAAGTTTGCAATGAAGACAACTAAAAGACTCAAAATGACCTGAACCCAAAAGACCCTTATTATATAAAGAACGAACTTTATTTGAAGACGCATGCCCAAGACGAAGATGCCATTGGAAACTAGACTTACTATCGGTGGCAGAAGCAGAAAAAGAGTAAGAACGAGGGACATGAAGTGACTCAAGCTCAAATAACCAGCCCGTCTTGCAACCTTTCCCGAGAAGCCGTCCCGTCTGTGAATCCTGAACCTGAACACCAGAAGATGAAAATATAACATTAAGACCTTGGTCAACCAATTGACCAACCGAAATAAGATTCAAGGCCAAGTCAGGAACGCAGTATGTGTCGGGAAGATGCAAGGAAGGGGAAGAAATCAAACCAGTGTGAGTAACATTCATAAGAGTACCATTAGCAGTATGTATAGGAGGTAAAGAGGTTACGGAAGACGAGGAAGACAAAAGCTGCGGGCTAGAGGTCATGTGATTGCAACAGCCAGAATCAAAATACCAATGTGATTTACCTCCGGTAGCAGACATAAAAGAATTGGAAAGAATAACCTGTTTGAGAATAGCTTCTATGTCTTGAAGAGTGTAAGACGGATGTTGAGGCTCAGTAGTGACAGCCGCTGTAACAGAAGAAGTGGCGGTGGAGGAAGACCCATGATGTCGATAGAATGAACCTCTCGAACGGTGCGATCTGGCTGGACAATATGTAGCAATATGACCCCGAACATGGCAAATGTGGCACACCACCGTATGACAAAATGGAGCAATATGACCCCGAACATGGCAAATGTGGCAGACCACCAGAGAAGAATCCATATCCAAAAAATAAAGAAGCACCAGCAACCAACAACAGTACCAAGTCGAAAGAAAATTACGAACGGGATCACAAACCGGATAAAATAGCAGTAAAAGGCCGAAATTAAAAGTTCACCAAAACCAAATCCGAGCACACCACAAGGTAGACGACGATGAGAGGAGTCGACGGCCGAAAAAACGACGGTGATCGGAGCAGGGGGTGGTCCTCACGCGCCTTCGGAAGCTGCCGGCGCTGTCGCACTGTTCCGGAGAGTGTGGGGCCCACTCGCGGAGTTACGGCCTAAAATTTCCGGCGAATGCTCGCCGTGAGACGCCGGAGGTGATGGTCTGGGAGGTGAGAATGAATGGTGGCCGGAGATGAACGAGAAAATACGAAACTTATATTGGACCCTAACCTGCTCTGATACCATGTAAGAAAGTGGGAAAAATATGTTCTGTATTATTCACAAAGACATATATACATATATATAGATACATAGAAGGCCTAAACCTAACTTATTGTACAAGAAACCATTTAACATAACTAACACTACATATTTGTGCAAATGAAAAAAAAAAAATATACATTCTTATTAATGTGTTAAAAGTGATTGTAATATTTAATAATGACCAAGTATTTTTCTTATAAAGTAATACCAATATAATTACTTAATTATAAGTGAAAAATTATCAATGAAATAATCTAAATGTACACGTATTTTATTATATAAATATAGTATGTATATCATTTGTTCGATATTCTCTGAAAAAAAGATCAATTTATGTGGTATATAAGATTTACGTTGTCCACTTTATATTTCTTTTTTTTTAGATTGGTAATAATTTTATTATTAATACAATATTAATATAAAAAATAGATTATTCATTATATTCATATAATAATAGTCATTAATATATAGATTTTACATGTCTATTGTTCTTTTATATCAAAGTATAAAAATTCAACTAAGGGTCTTTAATATAATTCAGTTATAAATACCATTGAGAAAAAAAAAATCGATTATGATTTTTATATAAAATACTTATTTATTTTGGTAACATGTGCATGTGCACAGAATTAATGCTAGTTTTATAAATAAGAGTGGCTAATGACAACAAATATAAAGTAAATGTACTATTTACTTTTATTTAACATGTTTTAATTGTAACTATTTTTTAATAAGTAGATATTTTTTAAATTAAATATTTAAAATATAGTTTTAGTTATTTTATATAATTTCTATAATTACTCTATTTTTATTTATATTACAATCAAAGTAGATAGTAGATTAATTTATGCAATACATATTATCATAAAAGAACATTTATGTTATACATACTATTATTAACATGTATACTTAAATCATATTTTGCATATTGTTTTAGTGAACAACTTAAACAAAATATTTTAAGTTTATATATTTTTCACTTAACGAATAACTTTTTTCCACAAAAAGTTGACTAGTTTGTATGATGAAAAATTATTTTTCATTCAATCATTCCTAAACATATATGCATATTCACCAATTTTTTCCTCTTTAATTTTTTTAATACTATAACAAAAAATTTCTATAGTAATAATATGATAATTGGAAATTAGAAATGATATTTTCATTGGTGCATTATATATTTTACACTTATGAAATAAAAATATATTTTATTTAAAATAATATTTTTTTCTTACATTTAAAAACTACCTTTACAATAATCAAAAAGAAACCTAACGTCATATGTAGATTAATTCTAAATAATATAACTAAAACTAGCTTATTTAAAATCTATATATTTGCGTAAATAATCTTTTTGTATTTATCTATTATTCAGTTAACGAATAACATTTTTTCACAAAAAAATTGACAGTTTGTATGTTGAAGAATTATTTTTCATTCAATCATTCTTAAACATATGCATATTCACTAAATTTGTCCTCTTTATTTTTTTTTTAATATTGCAACAAAAATCTCTACAGTAACAATATGATAGTTGGAAATTATAGATGGTATTTTAATATTTTCAATAGTGCGTTATATATTTTACACATATAAAATAAAAATATTTTATTTAAGTTAATATCTTCTCTTACTTTTAAAAACTACCTTTAAAATAACCAAACTGAAACCTAACGTCATATGTCATATGTAGATTAATTATGATTAATAGAATTTATTTATTTAAAATCTATAAATTTGCGTAAATAATCTTTTTGTATGTTAAAAACTTTAAGATATTTAAGTATAAACGATAATGAAAAAAAGTAAGTTAAGAAATGAAAGTTTAAAAACTTAACAAATATTGTTAGTTGTAACTTCTTAACATTAATAAGAAAATTACATTCGTAACCTTAAAACTTGTCTTTGGTAAGAGCATTCTTGACACTTCAAAAGTTTCAAGAAACTACTCTTCCTTTTGAGGGAGTTATAGATTATAGAATAGATTATAGATATAGATTTTGCTTGTGGATTATTAAGGGTGTGTCTGTATATAAAGAAAACTCTATCCATACTTAATTTATACTCAAAATTTAACTCAATTTTAACTCAATTCTACAATTTTCAATATTATAAATATAATTAAATAACATCAATCAATCATTCTTACACACCACAATAATTTTGATTTACTATTCATTCACTCACATAATTTTTTTTATATAATTTTCTAGCAAAACAATCCCGATCATCCTTTTCTAGCAAAACAATCTCGATCAGATGTTCTGATTATTTACAACCATTCCTTTTCATGATGGTTACAAATCAAGCCATTGGATTTGGTCATCAGACATTCGGAAACAAGCAAATTCGATTTTTTTTTTTTTTTTCTCATCATAGTTAATTTTGGACACAGTTAGATTTTTCACATTACACTGCGTATGCAGAAATATTTCCAAGAATTAAACACACATGTCAATTGGTCCGTTTATTGTACAGTGAACCAGTGGAGCTGGAGCCCGGGCACTGGACACTGGAGCCCGAGCCTGTTCCAGTGCCCGACACCTCAGAATGGGGGGAAACAGCAGCGGTAAGGGGCTGAAAGTTGGTGTTGCCCACAAACCAATAAAGCGCCCATTTCAAATTGCAAAGAGTGTACTTGAGAGCTTTA